GGGGGGTAGTGACGGATAGGTATCCTTAAGTTTTAATTGCAATATTTGAATATCCTGAAATCTGAAAAATAGATATTTGTATCCGTGGTTAGTATAAGCATTATATAATATAAAAAATACCCTTTCTGTGGTGATAGTTTTATTCTATAAAATGATTTAAAAATATACGGAAAAGATATTTTTGACATTTTATAGTGTTTAATTGACAGAAATATTAAGACCTAAGCAAGGTTTAAAATATCGATATATCTGATTTATTGGTAGGAGTGTATTGGGCATTTCAATACTTGTTTTATTTTATTTTTTTTGTTTGAACTCGATACACCCACTATAAAAACATATCGGAAGGGTCCCGAAATAATACATATCAGCCGATGTAAATCAATACGTAACAATACTTTGAACCTTGGACCTATTTTTAAAAATTTAGAATACTCAAATATTGCAATTAAAAGTTATATTTATCTATAATTTACCCTAGAAAAAGTTCCAATGGAGCAGGGCCGGACTAAAATGAATCGCTGCCTTCCATATATTGATGTGGCCACACTTTGGATGAAGTGACGTAAAAGCAATGTATGGAAGGCCATGATTTCATTGTTTTAGCCTATCACTATTTCAAGTGGAGTAACTGATTTCAATTTTCAAGGTCTTAATTAGAGATCAGTTTAGGCTGATTTTTTTTAGCCATGTGCTTAAATCCAAGTCCAAACAGAGGGACAGAGGGACCCACTTGATTGGCTGTCGCTATGGCCATGGAGCATCCCCAAATGACATTACCTGTGGAATGCTTCAAATGGCAGATAGCTTGAAGAAATGCCCAAAACATGGCTTGATCTGGGCCCACATCTAAGTGCTTTAGGACTAAAATTTAAAATCTGGGTCATGAATGGAAGTGGGCAGGGAACAAATGGAGCCCCTATTGGGCACTAGGTATTCTGTCCTGTAATATTTTTGTTAACTTATGTTTCTTTTTTAATATGAACGGTTCATCTTGCCAATCCATAACCCGATAATATAATTATTTGTTGGGACCCATGTGATGAGCCTTATGAAAATATAACCAGCACATAATAAGGGGCTTTGGTTGCCATCACTGAATGCAACCCGCCCAACAGAGTCCAACAGAGTAATTAAAATTAAGACTGATTTTGTTTTGATTAAATTATTACTTTTGCCCTCAAAAATAAAAATGCATTATGCTCAGTTTGGGAAGGGTATAAATACAAATATGTACAGTGAGGTACTAAAGTTTTGTATTGTAAATATTTGTATTTGTACTCCTTTCAAACTGAGCCCTAAAAGATTTGTGAAAAAAAAAAGAAAAAAAGAAAAAAAGCAAGAGCTTGTAAATTCAGGGGCTAAGATTAATGAAAACTGTTAATTGAGAAAGGGTCATGGGTGAGCCTGCATTCAATGGCAAGGCCACCAAGCATGTCCAATGACAAATATGACTTACCCTCTAATGAAGTACAGGTTTTTCTTCCTATTAGGAAATTGGGTTGTTGATGAAATTAATACAGCTGAGAAAAGGCTAATTTGCAATTTATTTCAAGAATGAACCATACAAAGAAAAGGGTCAGAAAATTGTAATTCAACAAGAAAAAAAAAACATTTTCTTTTCTGAATTAAATGATTCACATATGAAATTATTTTACTGAAAAAGTATGAATATTTTATAGATTTTTTTAATTATAATATACATCATTGTCAAGTATATTAAATTTGCATTTAATATGCATTGAATCAATGATGACACAAAAGCAAACAAGTTGATTTTCAGTCATAAAGTTGGGAGTGGTTCCAGGTGAGGAGGATTTTCTTTTTACCTTCCCTGAGAAGTAAAGTAATGTAGTCAATTCTTAAAGTAAATGGAGGAGAAATGATGAGGTCAAGCAAAAGAAGAAAAGAGTTCTTTTCATACACGTATACCTGAACTTAAAATGAAGCTAGAACAAATTACTAACTTGATGGTGAATATATTGTTTTAGATAATTTAGATTAGTTTGGACATAAATTTTCTATAATCCTGTTTAGATTTAGACTGTATTTGGTCTGGATGTTGAGTATGGTGAAAATGGTTATATTGGGAAAATATCAACTTCTTGGTGTTTGGTTGCAGATAACATATAAGAAGAAGCAAAAATTCATCCAAAATGTAAAAGCAAACACACCCCAAAGTGACTTGCACCCTTGTTTTATGGGAGAATCTATGGCTAGATTGATCAAACCGAATCAGATATGGGTAGATCCAAATTTCGATTAATTTATATTTGAATTTGAATTGAACCTTATTCATCGGATTTATATTGGAATCAAATTCATGCAATCCCATATTAAATAGTATAAATAAATTAAATTAACAATGACCAAAATATTATATATTATTATTAAAATGACTAAAAATGTTTTTTCTATTATATTTCATGAACAAAATGAATTCAAAAATTACTTGCATGAAACTCGAACTAATGACACCAGTAAAAAATGAACATTCAATTGAGGTTTAAAGTATCGATGCAATACGTCTTGTGTTAGGTGTATTCTATCTTATCGTTAAGGCGCAAATACTTGAGAACAAAGAGTTTTAGGATTTTGGGCATTTTCAGGGGTAGGCAGGCCTAAGACCAACCCCCTACCAATTTTGGCAATATATATATATATATATATAATGTTTGATGGTATCAAATAACTCGATACACCTATTTGTGTATATCAGGTACATTTTAGGTATCATAGTCAAATTCTTTTACAGAAAAGTACGGACAGGCTCAATGCATATTTCTGAATAAAACATTCAAAATGTCAAAAACTCCCATTCTATACATCAATACCCCTCCATGAATTGGCATAAATTCTGGCACCTAGCCCAATTATACTTTGGGCCTAGAAATTTTGAACCTGGGCTGAACCGTCATTTTTCCATCCTTTTATTAAACACAATATAAATTTAAGTATATTTTGAACATATATTTGATGATGCACAATTTGGTTGCTCCTATCTGGAAGGCAGTTCGGACGTCAGACTAACACGTGGCCGGTCGAACTACAAGAAATACAATATTAGAGGTCCTAGGGTGCTTTATCCAGTGTGAATATTCCAATAGAGAAGAGTGTTGTAGTGAACTGATTTGCTTGTGAATAAGAGAGCAAGAGAGTTAAATCGTGTGTACCCAAGGTTCAAAATATCGA